TGATCTAAGAGTCACTGCTGCTTAGAGTTAGTCAGCAACTCAAAGTGTAGGATGGAAGCTTTGTGTAGAAGGATAGACTTGGTCCCAGAAATCGGAAAACACCATTCTCATTTGTTTTACTTTTTCTTTTTTTTTTGCTAAGCAAGGGTCACCCTGAGCTAACGTCTGTTGCCAGTCTTCCCCTTTTTTGTATGTGAGCTGCTGTCACAGCATGGCCACTGTCAGAAGAGTGGTATAGGTTTGCTCCTTGGAATTGAACTCGGGCTGCCAAAGCGGAGCACAGCGAACTTAACCACCAGGCCACCAGGGCTAGCCCTGCCATTTTCTTTTAAAGACAATGAAAATAAATTTGTAATAAACAAATTTTTAAGCAATTTATTCATTCATCTGTTCAACAAATGTTGACTAGGCGTATGCAAGACACGCGCCCTGCCCTCTCTATCCACAGGTGACTAGGCACCTTCAGAATGATGTTGTAGGTGCTAGAAGCAGGTGGCCCGTACGGGAGGAGGAAGCACGTGATGACAGAGAGCCCAGCCTCCCTGGGCCTAGGGAAGGCTTAGCCTCCAGTGCCCGTGGGAGTCAGCCAGGCAGAGAAGCGGCCCCGGGCCAGGGGGCCTCCTGGCAGAGGCCTGTGTGGGCGCCTCTGTCAGTGGTTTCATGTCGCCTGGTTCGAGCTTAGTGAGCTGCTGGGGAGGGCACCCGTGGGAAAAGGGCAGGACAGGCACAGGCTGCTGCTGGTGAAAACTCGCCTTGGGTGGGTCAGATGCTGTCGAGTGCGCACAGGCCTCCCTCAGAGCAAGTTCATTGCTAACAGCTGTCGCAGAACCGCTTCTCTTCCTTCGTGATCTGTGTTTAAAGTGTCGGTTTCTTCTCTCCCCTGTCGTCTCTCCTGTCCCTGGTTGGCCTTATAGTCTGACCCTTTGTCTTCTGGAATGTCTGCTGCTAAGGAAGCTAAACTGTTCGAACTTACTTCCCAGCTCAGGAAGGTAGAACGTGTGCATTGCTCTCACTCGCGCTTGCTGCTTCCTGCTTTCCCTGCTGACTAACCAAACGCGGTGTGAGGGTGGGGAGCATACGATCCACTGAAATTGGGCACGGGGTCAGGGAAGCACATTTCTCTCACCACATTTGTCACCAACACCAGTCCTGCCTCAGCGTCACCAACGTGAGAGGATTAACCGCTTCCCAGATGAGCACGTGAAGCCACGTAGGCTGTGTCGGGAGATGTAAGGAGACGCTTTCCGTCTCACGTGGTTGACAGTGGTGCACGCAGAGCATGTTCCGCTGGCTGCCGCCGCAGTGGCGTACAGCATGCTGCCAGGGAAGCGGAGACCCTGGTTGAACTTACACTGTGTTTGCTGACAGGCCGAGGAGAGACACGGCAACATTGAGGAGAGGCTGCGCCAGATGGAGGCACAGTTGGAGGAGAAGATCAGAGCTGCAGCGGGGTACGTGT